AATTGACCCCTGGACTACCCCATAATTGAGGTTATCAATACTTACCTAATAGCATAATTAAAGTTTCTAAAAGTTGACCAAAGCTCCCAATTATTTAAAACTCCATGTGGACCCATATTATTTAGCCTATGCCAGCTCGAATCTTAGAATCCTCCTTTTGGCGCCTTTTATACATCTTTAAATATTTCTACCATTGATCTCCATCACATATCCAAGATATTCATGTTGAAGTTCAAAGGAAGACTGCAATAAGCAATGACAGTCACAAGGCACAAGCTGATTTTCAGAGTGGTTATCAGAAGTTCTTTGTTATATGGAGGGACCACCCAATTTTTCATTGTACTTGGATTGCTAATGGTGAGTTCGAATAGCAATTTCATCCCTTTAACTCGTCGGAGTCGAGTTTTTCCAAGCCGGGAGAATTGATGGAGATCAATGGCAGAAATCTTTAAAGGTGTATAAAAGGCGCCAAAAGGAGGATTCTAAGATTCGAGCTAGCGTAGGCTAGATAATATGGGTCCACATGGAGGTTTGAATAATTGGGAGCTTTAGTGAACTTTTTTTTACTTTAATTATGCTATTAGGTGAGTATTGATAACCTCAATTATGGGGTAGTCTAAGGGTCAATTAATTGCCTCAATTATAGGGTAATCTTGGAGTCAACTATTGATTACCTCAATTATGGGGTGATTACTTTTATTATGTTCAAGTATTGATTGCCTCAATTAGGGTAATTGAAGGGTCATAAGATGGTATAAAAGGGGTAGAATGTTATCTTGGTGAATCAGTGAATGAATGAATAAAAAATATCATTTGAGATTTCTTTGTGAGTGATTCACAAATTTTGAGACTGTGAGGCCTTCTCTGTGATACCTAGGCTCTGTTGTTGTTGTTGTTGTTGTGTATAGGATAAACATAAACAAACCCTAAAATATCCCTTAAAATATAACATTGCTAAAAATAACAAAAATAATTAAAAATAAAACCTAATAGCATCAAATCCCTAATTTCATCTATCTTTGCCCCTTCTCCTAAAGTAGAGGCGGAACACATGCGGCTCATCCAAGAAAATCATATCTCCTCCATTAGGTGCTATCTTCTCAGGGAAGATTTGATGTGCATTCTTTGTGTAGATGCCTCTTGGACTTTCCCGAGCCTGTCTTCCCGTGGAAGGCGGTCTGGCGCACCAAGGCTCCTCTTAAGGTGGCCTTTTTCATTTGGACTGTGGTGTGGGTCGAGATTTTGACGCTTGATAATCTGAGAAGGACTAGACAGGTCATCAATTAGTGTTGCATATGCAAGAGGATGGCGAGTCAGTTCACCATCTCCTTTTGCATTATCCCGTGGCTTTCAATTGTTGGGGTCTTCCTTTTGGTCCGTTTGGAGTTCAGTGGGTCATGCCTCAATCTTCGAGAGGATTGATGCTTGGAGAGGTTGCCTTGTGGGATCCCATGTTCGTGATTTTTGGAGGGTGGCACCCTAATGCATTTGGTGGTGTTTATGGAAGGAGCGGAATAGAAGATCCTTTCATGGAGAGGAGGAATCTTCTATTGGGGCATTAAAATCTCTTATGGTTAGCTCTCTTTTTTGTTGGGTTTTGGGAGAAACTATAAATCTATAGATGAATTTGTTGATTTGTTGGGTTCTTTAGGTCCTTAAGGTCCCTTTTGGCCTTTGTGTAGCTTTCGGGATAAGTTTCCCTTTTGGACGCTTTCTAATACATCCTCACTTATCAAAAAAAATAAAATAAAAATAGAATGCCTATAGGGGAAACAAGTGAATTCCCAATTACTTTAGGCACACATCATGTGTCAGTATTAACTATTAAGTCCATACCTTTTTGCCTTGGTTATGGATGAGCTAACAAGACACATCCAGGATGAAATTTTGTGGTTTATGTTATTTGCCGATGATATTGTTATAGTTAATGAGACTAGAGGAGTTAATGCAAAATTGGAGATTTGCTCTTAATACAATCTTTACTTATAAAAAGAAAAAAGAGATTTGGAGAGAAGCTTTAGAACTAAAAGGGTTTAAGATAAGTTGAAATAAAACTGAATATATGGAGTGTAACTTTAGTAAATCTAGAAAGACAAATGTGGATGTAGTGAGGACTGAGAATCAAGAGGTACAAAAAAGTGAACATTTTTGTTATTTAGGCTCACTTATTCATAATGAGGGAGTATTTGGAGATGACGTTAATCACGGAATCAAGGCAGGATGGGTTAAATGGAGGAGTGCATCTACTATATTGTGTGATTGGCGTGTTCCCCTTACTATTGAAATGGGAGTTCTATTGAACAACTATTAGACAAGCTATACTTTATGGTACCAAATGTTGGGCATCTAGAGGAATACCAATTGGATAAAATGAGGGAAAATTGTTTAAGATGGTTTGGAGATGCGCAAAGAAGACCTTTAAGTGTGCCAATTAAGAAAAGTGACATAGCTTGAATTTGAAACAAGGATGTGATCAGGTACAATGGAGACATGGTATTTTTTCTCTTTGGACTGTTTGGGATAAATGGAGGGTTCAACATTCATCTGTGGACTGGTTTGCAGTGTGTTGGAGTGGTTCTAGACCAAGAGCTTCGCTGATCTGTGCTCTTGCAATCCAGAACAGGCTACTGTGTTTTGTTAATCTTAAGAGAAGGGGAATCCCGACCGTGGCTATCTGTCATAATTGCATGAAAGCTGAAGATGACCTGGATCATCTCTTTGTTACATGCTGTCTAGCAAGAGATATATGGTAGTGGTTGTCTGTGCTTCTTGGATGGAACATGCCTAATTTTGATACATTAGCACAACTTATTTTTTGGTTTGTCCAACAGAAAATAAAGCATAAGGCTCAAAAGCGAATCCGTGCTACAACATTGTGGTTTTTATGGGATGAGAGAAATAAGCGTTTGCATCAGGAACATCAGAGAAATGCTGTACACATTGCTCAAGCTATATGTGGAGAGGTTTTACTTCTTTCAGATATGGAATTAGGGAAATTTGGGACAACTTCTCTGCATGTTTAATTTTATTTATTTGTTTATTTTTTTCTTTCATTCTTTGTTTTCTGTTTTACACTTTGTAGTACAGAGTTCAGGCTGCATTGTGGTGTGTTGTCCAAGGGGATGCCCTTGTTGTTTTCTTGTACATTCTTGATATATCTATAAATATTTGCACGTTACCCAGGGAAAAAAAAGTGACATTGTCCACATTGAGGGTAATACTGGGGAAGAGGAAGACCAAAGTTGACGTGTGTAAAATTAATAAAGAAAGAGATGATAGCATGTGGATTGACTGAGGCTATGGCCTTAAATAGAGCGGAATGGAAACATAAGATTCATGTAGCCGACCCAAGTAATTGGGAAAAGGTTTGGCTGCTGCTGTTGTTGTATTAGGTCTAGTAGTTTGATTACTTCATTTGTTAATTTATTTTTCCTGAGCACATGGTACAACTAGATTTTATTAGGGTCATATTGCAATTGAGTATAAATTAAACTGAAGTTGCAGAACAACAAAACTTGATCAAGGCTTAGAACCATGTGCATAGACCATGATGTGATACCGCAGATCTTTGCCCATGGCAGACTTACAAATACGAATGTGTCTGCGATTGGTTTAGGTTAATTGTGTCTCAATTGTAAAATTATTTCTAACATTGACCTTTTTGGAGAATCTCCCATTAGCCTTTTGACTCACTATGTTACCGGCATTTCTTTAGTCAATGTTACTACCTTACCTCTTCCCCAAGTACACATCATGCATATATAAAAAAAATTGATCTTTTTTACCTACGCTCTTTAGACAATCATTTGGTAGTAATGAGGTTTTACAATCAACAATTGTGACTAACCATCAATCCTAAACAGTCACTTTTATGACATCTATAAAATGTGTAATGAGAGTCCCACGTATAATGGTTTTCGTAAAATTTTATTACCCACATTCTATTGTCAGGACAATTATAGTTGTTATTAGTTCCAATCAAATAATATTTAATGCACATCTTCTTGAAAATAAGTGAAGTCTTACTTTGGTTTCTCCTCAACTCAGAACTAGGTTTCGCACCAATTGCAGGTTTGTTCCATTTCTCTTAACATTAGATCTATGTTCAATGTTTTAGAAGAAATTTTCTGATTTCCTTCAGAATCTTTTTGCTTCGAGATTGCCTTTGCCTTTCAGAATTTCAACTAGAGTGTGAAGAGATTTAAGACTGTTTTGTAATGCTCACAACAAATTCTAATGACTTGCAACACTTTAACCATCCTTGTTTTATTTGGCTTGAATTGTTCTTTCAAGATGACCACTACCACGTCCAAGTATGGGCAAAACCTAAGTTTGAAGATGCAATACCAACTCTGTTACAGAAAAAATAGGTATAATCTATTAATGGTAGTAGATTGCAGTAGGCTGGAGTTGGGACAGGGACAAATGAGACTTTTGGTTTAAAGAATCTAATATCTTGAATATCATTTCATCAAATCGGATGACAAAATTATTATGGCTAACTCTTAAGGTTTGTAATTTCAAGTTCTACAATTACCTCATGACCTCGGCCCTTAATTACTTTTAAAATTCATAAACTCAGCCTTTTGCTCTGATTAAATTTCACATGATGCTTATGAGACTTGGAAGTTAATGACCATCTGCAAAACTATATTAGGGAAGAAAAAACTCCAGTACAAGTTAGAAAACAAAGTGAAGACATTAGAATTAGAATAAAAATTCAAATTTATATATAAATAGTGCTCCACTCCAAGCTAATTAGAGGTGTACTTCGACGTTGCATGCTTCTAAAATGTTCATCAATTGACACAATTTTGTTGAAGACTTGCATTTGAAGCAAAATTACTTGGAAGTTCTCTCTCTCCCTCTCTCTTGGGGGGTGGGTTTACTTAGATCCTTTTAGCAATTGCAACTATTTGGATTAATTTTCACAATATAAAAAATTTGTAGTTATTTCATGAATTATAATGGCTATGACCTGTAAATGTCAATTTTTGCAGGCTTACGATCAGCATTTGAATATGATTCTTGGGGATGTCGAAGAAATTGTTACAACTATAGAAATTGATGATGAAACCTATGAAGAGATTGTCCGGGTATCCTAATAATTTTACAATTTTCTTGTTCATTCTTGAACTGTACTTTTTTATTTTTTTTTGGATTGGGTGATGATAAACCATTGGACAGGTGTCAATGTTTTGAAATATGGACTGTTCATGAACCAGAGAAAGACTGGGTCAAGGGTCAAGGGTCAGCGATACGTAAAATGTGGGAAAATAACCTGAAAACTTCAAACAACTTCTCCCCCATCCATGCATGAAATCTTTTGGAAGATTTTCAAATTAACATCACATCCACCCTTACCAATTTAAACTAAATAAGATATTCACGGTAATAGCTAATCCTACAGTGTTGATGAGCAGGAATTAAACTTCTTCAAAAGAATGATTGTTTTTGAGGGGAAAGGTTCACACAAATAATTTTGTGAATAAATTTTTTTTTGTTTTTGTAAGTACTTACAAATGAAGAGGAGCAGGGGTGTCGGGGTGGGAGATAATGCAAGTAGTTGAATTAATACTTGGTCAAAGGTATCTGCTTGAGTACAAAGAATAAGGGCTGTTTGTAGGAGAGAAAGAACAAGGATATTTGCTAATTCATTTTCATCTTTTTCTTCTGTTTCAGACTACAAGGCGCACGGTTCCCTTTCTCTTTGTCAGAGGTGATGGTGTTATACTGGTTTCTCCTCCACTTAGGACAGCTTGACGCCGAGCACTCCAAGAGGAAAAATCACCTGTAGCCACATTTATTGCAGGCTTCTATCATTTTGATCTTGGCATGTTCAACTTCTGGCTCTGTTTCACTTGAATATATTAGAATACAAGTAGAGAGAGAAATATATATGTATGTATATATATATATATATATATATATATATATGTATGTATGTATCATTGCGTGGTAGACTTATGAATGATTATGTATAACCTACTAATATTATGAATCTTATTTTACTGGTTGGCCAAACATGGGATTACCCCGTTTTAGTTGGTTGGTACCCTTTTTTAGCATTTACTATGAAAAAGACGAGTATTTCAGGCAAAGGCTACAATTGGAATGTTGAGATGTTAATAACTCCTGAAGAATTTACCCTTCTTTTTTAGGGTAAACTGTTCAATCTTCATTAAGTGCATTATTATATATGTGTGTTTGCTTGTTGGACTAATGTCACTGATGTGTAGAAAAGATTGTCAGCTTATTATTTTGTAGAATCCAATAGCATGGGCAAAGACTGCGTTTGCTTTCAGGAATTTTTTAGAGACTTGTGTATGGTTAAACCTGGTGTATGATGCTAATTATGCGCATTAGGCGTTTCCCTTGACCATGAGGTTGAGACTGTCCATGTATCTGAGTGTAACTAAGCATGAGAATGGCTCTTACATTTGTGATTCAGAAGCAATGAATGTAAGGTGTCCTTTGGATTGAAGGAAAAGAAAGCAGAGGATAAGGAGGGAGAACTTACCTTGTGTTTGTTTTAAACCTTTAATAATGGGGAGAGAAATGAAGGGATTTTAAACAATAAGAGATGATAACTTACACTTTTGAATAGTGACTTTTGTTATCCTTCTTTATGTATGGAGAATCTGTAAGAAAAAGGTAACAGAGTTAGCCCTAGTTTGATAGGCAAGAATGGAATTGTCATTTTGATTCTCTCTCTCTTGTTTGGTGTGTTTTTTTAAAAAGTGGAATGGCATTCCCTGCAATGCTCGTTCCAACTAGAAGTTGCAATGGATATTCATCTTCTTGAGTTGTGACGTTTCGTAATTCTTGGTTTTTTTTTTTTATTTTTGGTAATTATTTTATTTTGTACATCGTTTTGTGTGTCGTGCACCTTCTGTAATGACCCGGTCATTTTACTCCCTTTCCTTTTTCTGAAATTTTACGGATAAATTTTTTCCGTTTAATTTTCTTTTCTGAGTTCAGTTTCTCGTCTTATAGTGTCGTCTTGAGTGCTCGAAAATGGTTCTTGAGGCTCTTTCATTCGGATTGACAACTTCTTTTAAGGATCGAGTCATTTCCACATTTTCACTTTTTGGACACTATTCACTTTTCGTCCTTTTTCCTGTTTCGTCCTTTTCCCTATTTTGTCTTTTCCCCATTTGTCACTTTTTGGCACAACCTCACTTTTCATGCTTGGAGTTAGTTTCTGACTTCACGTGTCTTTATTCGAAGTGGTTTCCATGAAATACATATCTTTACTTTTGCAAGAAAGTACTCTGGTTTCTCCCGGTGTCCATAAGGGCATGGATGCACAGTTCTTCAGAATCTTTTTCTTTTTTTGGGGTGTTTTTCATAAATATATTTTGAAGATATTTTATTTCAGGGGTTTTTAAAAAAATATTTTTGGAAGATATTTTCATTCTGGGTCATTAATGTAGTTAACCTTTTTTGGAAGGGACCATTATGTAATTAACGAAAGTTATTATAAAAATACATCGTTTAGAGTCTGGATCCTCGTACGGGATTCATTTTCACATTTCGTCGAGTCGTATACTCTTAGAATTTCCTTCTAGCCGTTTTTCTCCAGTTTCAAGGTTTCTGACCCCAATTGTCGCCGAACTTGTTCGAGGCATATCTCTCTGGTCAGGACTTAGTTTTTGATGCCGTTTCTTCCGTTGTTTTTATTTTCTCATTTTGAACTCGTTCACGGAGTTTCACCGTTTGAGCGTGTCTGCTCAAAATCTGCTTTTCCAGACCAGGCGGGACCCTTTCGGGGCACTTTTTGAGATTTTATATGAATAGGGGAGTCTTAAGTCAAAAAGTCAGACTTCTTCATCTTCTTCCCCCTCTTGGCCGGCAGCCATGGGAGCCCAAGGGGCTGCCTTCATTCTTTCTTCTCCTCCACTTGATTTCCTTTGTAAAAACTCTTCGGCCTTAACGTTTATCGTAGGCCTTGATGTATTTTACCTTTCCCCCTTATTAGAACCCATTTCTGACCATTTTTTGGGTTTGAAGTCAAGTTGTGATTTACATGGGTCTTCCTTGGGATTCTTATTCACCGTGTTGTCCCCGACAAAACCCCACGATATCGTCGGATTCGAAACTCTTTTATTTCGGTAGGGATTTAAGATTTTCATCTCAAATTGAGGTAGGGGTGTTATAGTTTATATTCTTGTTATATCGCATGCTATGGATGCTTATGCAACTCATTTATATGTTTTTGTATCAAATGTAGAAACTTTAATTTATTATTTCTTTGTGTAAGATTTAATTTTCCCGATTGTTCATAACTTTGTTTAAACATATGACATGATAGAATACTACCCCTTGATATGATCATTGACATATATTAAATTGAGGACTTTTGAGCATGTATTGAAGATTTTATTTAATATTTATCTTGAGTAAACATTTAATTCATGTGTCCTTAACTAGCTTGAAATCAATGTGTGTTAGCATATTATATTAAGCCCTAGCATGCTCTTCAACATAGGTGAATTTGAGAGAAATCGGTGATGTTTTGAAATCTAGTAATATTTAAATAATTTGATTAATTAATTTATTCCATGTGCACTATTCACCCCATTGGAATTCTGACATGATATTATTGATGTGCATGCCATATACTTTCACATATGTTATTTTGAGAATTTTTGGACAACTTTGATTTCTAAAGAAATTAATTAATTAGGCTAATTAATTTCTACTTAGTGTTCTAATAAGTTAGACTTGTATTTCATAGGGCTTTTGTCTTTTTATCATGCATCATGACTTGTTGTATCATGGTTTCACTAATGTAGTTATTGAACTTGCACGATTGTCTTGGAGTGATTTAATTATTCATGTATGGCTAGGTAAATAATTAAATCATGTGTCTTATACTAGCAGTATACTTGCATCAATGAATTCTATGTGCTATATATCCTAATTTGTAGTCTATGTAGATGCATACTATGGTGTCTTGACATTTCACATGCCATAATAGTTGAGAACTTAGGGCATGACTTGTATGTTTCCAAAATCTCGGTTGTGCATGAAATGTGTTTAATGCATTACTTGTATCTTGATGCTGTCTTGACTTGCACAACTTGTTGATTTTTGAAAACTTGGGGATATTAATCAAGAAATGACATGGCTAGGACTTGATTCTAGTATTGGAGATAGAGAGCTCCCTACACTGTAGTGTGCACTAGGGGAAGGTACCCATGGGTTAGTAGCCTTAAAGTGATCCCATGAGTACGGTTTTGATCCGGGCGATATCCAAGTATCCACATTGATTGATTTCACTTTTTAGATTTCAAGTTGCTATTCCTTGAAGAATTAAAACTCTTTTCATGTTATATGTAATGTTCCAACCTTGTTCAATTGCATTGATATTATGCCTTATCTTTGATTCTGCGCCTTGCCCTTGTCGTGTTAATTGAATTGTTTCAATCTTGTTAATTTTCTTAGTTATCTCGTTCCGTGTTACCTTATACTATCGTGACTTAGGAATGATCCTAAACATGTAACTTGGCTTAGATTCTAGGTGGCATGGTCCACATGTAATGATTTATATCAATATGCAAAATCTCTAAACCCTTAGATTTCAAGTGATATCTCTTGAAGATATAAGGACCTTGTCATGTTATATGGAGTATTTCCTACCTTGTTTCATTTGCATAGATATTATGCTTACTTCGTGCATTTAGACCTCTTTCAGTATACTTGAAACTGTACACTTGCTTCTTGTATCTAGATTCCATTTAGCATACTCGTGTCTTGTATACTTGCCTTGCGTGTTTCCAATCTCATTAGTATACCTGTGTTTTGTATACTTACCTCACATGTTTTCATCTTCGTTTAGTATACTTGTAACCGGTATGCTTATATGTCGTGTATCTCGTTTCAATCGCATGAGTAGTTTAGGATGATCTCTACGTCTCACTTTGACATATACGTTAGGTGGCATGACCCCTTTGAATTGTTTTAAGTTAATGTAAAAATCTCTAAAGAAATTGAGTCATGCATGCTCATTCTCTACGAGTAAACTTGTTTACTCACCCCGAAGTTACTAGGGGTATTGTTCAGGTATGAAGACTTGGTTCATGATGCTCATCGCTCCGTGGATGACTTGTACCTTTTAGTTTCTATTTCATGCAAGTGTTAGCATGAAAATGCCATTGTCGAAGCCTTATGTATCAGACTTGTATTCTTTGATTCCATTTATGTAACGTGTACATAAGTACACTATTTTCATTATATTCAACATGTATAAGATGAGGCCGAAGGCCAATGGCTTGTATCTTATATTCTATGCACTTTCGTTTTCAAGGTTTATTATGAAAATATTGAAAAATGATAAGTCATTACTTCATAACTCTTGCATCGGGTGTGGGAATTTCATTCTTTTTCTTTCATAGGGTTTCTATGATCATGTATGATGTGTGGCCAAGGGCTAAACACCATTTCATTCTAGGTTTTGCATTGTGGCTCCATTTATAGCGTTTTTAGGCATTTTTGACCGTTGAGAGGTCATATTCTGCATTGGGGTTATTTTAAGGCCTCGGACCATTGGGACGCGTCCTAAACACAAAACTCTTAAGTTTCAACTTTCGACTTATTTTTGGGTGATTTTAATGAATTTTCATGAAAAATTCATTCATGGGGTGTCATTTTGAGTTCCTCTTTGCTTTGGCATGATTTGAATACTTAAATGATGCTAGGGGATGTTTTCAAACTTGTTCGGAACATGTAGAATGCATGTAGAATCTTAGAGATGGCCTAAGTATCTCACACACACATTGCAGCAGCTTTTTCTGCTGCAGCAGATGTGTCGGTAGGCTGATGAGGACCTATTAGCCGGCTGACCAAAGCCTTGAGACCCATTCCAGTAGGCTTTTCTTGAAATATGGCGTTTTGGTGGGCTGAACATTGGGGTTCGGTCGGCTGATGATTGAGGTTCGGCCGGCTGACCCTTGTCATCAGTCGACCGATCCTCCCTAGGACCTTCTCCTTCCAGTTTTCTTGGATAGTTTCCTTACACCGACTTTAGAGGGACTTATCTCCTTCATTTCTGATTCAAATCTGGTCATTCTTGAGTCTAAGTTCAAGAGCTCGAAGTTAGCTTTCCAACGGTACCAACCACTCATCAAAACTCCACCTATAGTGAGAGTTATTCCAGTTTTGGTAAGATAGGGTCGTGGTAACTCTTAAACGGA